AGCTTAAAAACATCAGCTATAAAGGCCAAACAGTGCTTACAAAGCCTCCTATCACTCCAAACAGTAGCTCTACGGCTTCCTACAACACCGGGCAGCGGCTAGGAGCTTCGGTTAGTGGTCCTACAGCTTCCTACGACACAGGGCAGTAGCTAGCAAGCTTCTACGGCCCCAAAACAGTCCTAAAACAGTAGGCAATGCTCTCCAAATCCAGCCCCAAAATAATAGACAATATTAAGCAAGAGCAGCCCCCAAGAAGTAATAATCAGTTTTAAACAGCGGGCATATGTGACCAAAACCGACTCTATCTAATGCATTGGATGGAAACATCTCTAGATCAATCTGACTTTTGGTTGCACTATTGCCGCACAACAACAAAAAAAAGAATTCTCCTGAATTGAAACAATTTATTATGGTATTCATATCCTTGAGATGAAATAATATTCTGAGCAAACTCGCTAATTCAATTTTTACATCTTCAACAGAATAACAATCAACACCTTCTTTAGAAGATGGCTCAATATGACAGATATTTTGTACACCATCATAAACATCAACAGGTTTTAGAACACTGTAAAGCGGCTGAATCAATGTCCAACAGGAGGCAAAAATGGAGGAATCAGAGTTAGCAATTTTCAAAATGATAATTTTCACAAAAGCAAAGTGCCAATCAGAAACTCAAGAACATCACAAAAGAAAAACTTAGAGCCTGCCGCTGCCGATGAAACAAGAATGCAACGAATGGCTTTCAGTGTAACATGATTCTCAAATCTGTGAATGAGGGATGACCTTGAGAAACGATTCACGCAAGAAAAGAAGATTTCAATTAAATAGCCATTTTTCAATTAAATAGCCATTCATCTATTCATCTTTTTTTTTTTTTGACAATCAGACAATTTCTTTTAAAATTAAATTCTCCAGTAATCTAAACACTTCGTAACAATGGGTGAAAAAAAATCTTCATCAACCCTACTCAGATTTACAAAATCCATGGTTTAAGATACGAATTCAATAACAACAGAAATAGTCACCATGAGATTTGAATTAAATCATTCCCAAAACCAGCTATCAAACAACCACTTAGAGTTTAGAGGGTTACCTTATTGAACGAGTGATGAAAAAAAAGAGGCGGAGGGCTTCGATGCAGGGAGGCTGAGGCAAGCAGACGTGTTGAGCAGCTTTAGTCGAGTGGCGGAAAAGAGAAAGCGGAGAGGGTAGCTCGGTTCGCAGCGTCGGGTCGCCGAAGAGGAGCGGGCGAGTGGAGGAATGAGATCGAGGGAGCACGGCCTTTGGTTCAGGGAGGAGCACCGGCTTCGGTTCGCAAAAACTAGTTGCAGAGGCGCGAACATTTCTGTTTGCAGAAGAGGAGTCGGGGGCGTGAGACCGGGCTGAGGAGTCTCGGGAGAGGAAGAAGGCGAGCGGGGGGAAGTTTTCTGTGATGAGGGAGTCGAGCAGGGGATGATCGAATGAATCCGAGAGTGAAGTGAGCGGGATCGAGCATAGGAGCGGGGGGGGGGGGGGGGGGGGGGGGGGGAGGGGGGGAAGTAGCTCAGTTGCAACGTCAAGTTGCAGAGGAGAGCGGGCGAGCGGAGGAGTGGGATCGAGGGCTTCGGTTCGCCGAGATGAGTCACTTCGGTTCACAGAAAGTAAGAATCCCGTCGAGTGAGGGAGGCGAGCAGGAGCTTCGCTTGGGAGAGTGAGGTGAGCCGGATCGAGCAGAGGAGCTGGAGGCTATTATCGAATGGGGCTTCTTCTGCGTCCGGAAGAGAAAGGCAAGCAGGTGGAGTTCGGTGCAGAGGAGGAAGGATTCGAGCGGGATCTCTCGAGAGCGGGGCTGTGAACGAAGCGATCCTCGAATCAAGCCTTTTGTCGCAGAGGATATGAGGCTAATTAGGGAGCCGTTACGTGAAAGCTTTGGCGGGGAAATAAATATTTTCCATACGCAGGGGAGGTTTAATTGAAAAAAAAAATAACACCTGATTATATTCAATTAATATGGGTTTTAAATGCTCCTTTTGAATTTTGAATTTTGAAATTCGAAATTATGTGAGCTGGTAGTTAGCCCGTGTTTAATCCGAGTCTAGCCTGAATCAAACCCAAATCAAACCCGAGTTGAATTTGGGTTGAGCCCCGACCCGCGCATCGTTAATTAAAAAAAACGTGGATCGATATTCGTGTTGATTGCTCGCGTGCGAAACCATAACAATATAGATGTCCCTCCCGGCTAACGTCGACGTCCCGAACGCATCTGTGTGGTCCGTTTCGTCATTCAGGGTCCTCCAAACGAGTTCGCTGACGGACAAGTCAATTTAATTCAAAATCGTGTGGGGTGCGATGCGTGCGCAAAAATCAAGGTTATCAAGCGTTCGGGTCGCAAGAGGTTCCCTAGGGGCTGCTCCTATCAATGTAGGACTTGACTCGAGTTTCATGTGCCGATCCTAATCAACTCAACGGAATGTCGAGGATTCGGGACCGCCCATGCGAGACTCGAAGGAGTGAAGATGTGGCTCGAATTTTCTAAATAATGTGGGTCTGGTACTACTCCTCTAAGAGGGTCAAACAAAGAAAACCTAAGGCTAGATCCTTGGTTCTAAGGAGGAAGTAAAGACCTCACATAAAATGAGGTCAACAATAGTGTGTTGAGAAGATCTTACTGAGATTCAACATGGCTAAGGCGAAACCATTTGGCACTTCCTTAGGCAATCACTTCAAATTATCTTAGGGGCTATTGGCAAACTCTGAAGCAGAACAAACACAGATGGAGAGAATTTTATATGCTTCAACAGTTGGAAGTTTGTTATATGTGATGATTTAAACTAGGTCAGATATTGCATATGTAGTGTGAGTGGTCAGTAGGTACATGGGCAATCTAGGCCAACATTATTGAGAGACGGTAAAATAGATTCTCAGTTACTTGAGGGGAATAATTAACAGAGCACTTTGACATGGAAGTGTAGGGATCAATCTACAAAGATTTGTAGGTTCAAATCTGACAGGAGATGTGGACAGCAGAAGAAGTACAATGAGATATATCTGAATATTGGGGAATACACTGGTGAGTTGGCTTTTCAGCTTGCAGAAGATCATTGCACTTTCAACTACGGAGGTCGAATATATTGCTATCACTAAGGCTAGCTAGAAGATGATTTAGCTACAAAGTTAAACACATTAAGTTGAGTTATCATTTTATTCGCTCTCTCCTCAAGGATGAACAGTTGTTCCTGGAGTAGATACACATCTCAGAATCCTGCAAATATATTGACGAAGACAATGACTATTGAGAAACTAAAGCTATTCTTGACTTTAGTTGAGTTTCATGGAGGTTGAGACCGGGAGTGAGCCGCACCACAATATTTGACTATGAAGACAATTCAGATGGAGGTGCAGGTACAAAGGATTGGTGCTGGGAGATTATTATGTGTGGAGCCTGATTTGAAGCACCGACACACGCTGAAGAAGACCAAACACATATGGGCGAACTCAGTGGTGGGGGTGCTTTTGCACTTCCTTTGGGCACTTGTTTGGGCGCTGACTGAAGAGGGGAGCTTTTGCTCCCACATGTGGGTGCATACAGGTGCATATGGGGGTGGGGGGGCTGGTCGTCTCTGCGCCCCTTTGGACGCTTGGACGCCCACTTTGTTTTGACTCTAAGAGAGAGCTTTCTCCCATTTTGTTTCGGCTTTAAGAGAGAGCTTGTCGCATAGGCACCAAGTTTGAGCACCTAAGCGCTCGGAGCAGTTGATATAATTTATTGGTTTAAAGGACAATTTCGAGAGGCGTAAAACTGGCTTTGGGTTTAGTGCTTCTTGTACGAGTTCTTTTTCCTTGTGAATGTGAAAAGTGTCGGAGAGGAGGATTTGGAGTGAGTCATTTAAGTTTTCTTGTGTGTAGAGAGAAAAATGATGTGGGTTCTCTGTAAAAATTTTTGAATTTTATAGGGAAATTTCTTAGTAATGTGGCTCTGTGGTTTTCTCCCTTTATCAGGGTTTTTCACGTTAAATTCCAGTGTTCTTTTCTGGTTTGCCTTGATTGTGTTTCCATTTAAATTTTGTTCCGATTTTTCTCGAATTTATGCAATCCTGTTATTCCATTGTGATGTTTAGTTTCTAATTGATCCTAGGCCCCGGTAAAGATGGGAAATTTTCTCGTTATTTCTATCATCCAATGTCAGTAAAGTTGAGGCTTTACTGATCTAGTATTGTGCTTTGATGAGGACATTGTAACTGCTTATATGCTGCATGTATAAGCCAGCAAAAATTAAGAATCCATTAATTAAGGGTACATGCAAATTTATTTGTAGAACATACTTGCGCTCTTTTCATTATCTGGGATGCAATCAAGCAAGGTATAGTGCCATGCATTGCTGTGATCCGCTAGCATCTAACATTCATATTTCCTATTCTATCATATTAGATTCTACTGCTAAATTCCAAACTGTTTTGTGTAAAATTGAATGTAAATTTGTAAATGTCCTTCATATGGCATGCTTGAAAAACTACATCCATTTTGGGTGTAAATCAAATCCTTTGATTTTAGTACATCAAGATGTGAAAAATACATGTTTTCTTTTGTTGATATTCTATATTTTTATGTTAATTGATTTGCAATCTCAGATACCATCATCCTATTGCACTATATATTGGAGACTCTAGCTCTACCATTGGTTAATCTTCTTTGGGGCATTTACATAGATACCTCCTAAATCTCATGCGTTTACCTATCTAACACCAAAACCTTACTCTTTACGTCTATACTGCCTAAATTTTTCATATCACATCAAAATACCACCATTTGAGCTTTTACAAACTGAAATACACCTTTTCATGCATGGGTTAAGGAGCTTGTATGTAAAAACTAAAAAATTGTAGTTTAGCTGTTAGATATGTAAATACATAAGAATTGAGTGGTATGTATGTAAATCTTCCAATTTCTATATGCGTCCTCACTGTTTTTATGATTTCCAGGAGGAAGCGCTGATCTAAATGTGTCATATTTTTTTACAGGTTGCGAAAGAAAACGCTGATGTGATTATCTTAGACGACAACTTCACCACCATTATAAATGTTGCTAGATGGGGCCGTGCTGTATATATTAACATCCAAAAGTTCGTACAGTTCCAGCTGACCGTAAATGTTGTTGCTCTTATAGTCAATTTTGTCTCTGCATGTATAACAGGTAATCCGACTAATCAAATCTTACAATAATTTATTTTCTTCTGTATTTGCTTGTTCTTCAGTAGTTCATTACTCGCATTTTTTTACTTCTTCAGGAGATGCTCCTCTCACTGCCGTGCAGCTGCTATGGGTTAATATGATCATGGATACACTCGGCGCCTTAGCGCTAGCAACAGAACCTCCAAATGACGAAATGATGAAGAGACCGCCAACCGGCCGCGGCGAGAATTTCATCACAAAGGCTATGTGGAGGAATGTCATTGGCCAGAGCATCTATCAACTTCTGGTTCTTGGAGTTCTCATGTTCGGTGGAAAGAAGCTCCTCAAATTAAGTGGATCTGATGCCGATATCGTGCTCAATACTTTCATATTCAACACTTTCGTGTTTTGCCAGGTACGCTTTCTATCCGCATTCATTTTGAAGTTTAGTCGTTATAATCAATTCAATTTTTTCATTTTTTACTCTAATCAACCATAGACTATTTTCATTCTTGTCTTTTTTTGGGGGGCATTTACATTCCTACCACACAATTCTTATATATTTACTTATCTCACTCCTAAACTTTCACATTTACATACATAGCACTTACAAATCTTTAATATGTTATTCATGTAAGCGTGAAAGTTTAGGTGTCAGATATGTAAATACATAAGAAATGTGTTCTACGTATGTAAATTTCCTTTTTCTTTCCTCATGGTGTTAGAATTTAATTTTATGGAATTTTTCATATTTACTAAATGGTTTTTCTTGAAAATTAGTTTGTTTAGAGTCATTTTTGCATTTTTATTTTTATTTAAAAAAAATAAATTAATTTTTTAAAAAAATGCTCTAATCAGCTGAATATTTTTTTTAGTGTTTTCATAAACAACTAACTCTATTGTAGAGTGTAAAACTTATTTCAATATAAGTAAAAATATAAATAAGTAAAATAAAAAATAGAAATTAAAAGTGATCCCAAGTAGCCCTTTTAAGTGTCCATCATTATCGCTTTTATTTATTAATTTTATTTTGTTTTAGTTATATTTTAATTTAAAATAAAATATAATTATATTTAAAAATAATCAAAATATTTAAATATTATTATGAGTGCTTTTAAGAAGTTCATTTGTTCTCATTAGATAAACTTAATGAAAATTTTAACGGGTGCTGCATTACATGACATCCATCTATGATCTTTAAACTTAACATTCTATTATCGGAAGCCCATCGCCATTATATCACTAAACATGCTCTCTCTCCCCGCCTAAAATGAATCTTCTAAGTGAAAAACAACATCAAATTACAGCAAAAACTAATCCACTGCTGCATCTGATAAACTCATATTCCTACCAGCTATTCAACGAGATAAACAGCCGAGAGATGGAGAAACTCAACATCTTTAAAGGAATTTTCAGCAGCTGGATCTTCTCCGCCGTCCTTATTTCAACCCTAGTCTTCCAAGTCATCATCGTCGAGTTCCTCGGCGCCTTTGCTAGCACCGTCCCCTTGAGCTGGCAGCTATGGCTCCTCAGCATTCTCCTCGGATCAATAAGCTTAATTATAGCCGTTTTACTCAAATGCATTCCAGTTGGTTCTACCAAGCTCCCATCCCTCCACCAGAATGGCTATCAGCCAATCCCCAACGGTCCCGAAGATGTTTAAATAAAAAAAGGTTAGGATATCCTGTCTAAAAATTTGGTATTTATACTTTCCAACCATCCAAAACATCGAATATAACATTTTAACCACCCAAAATTTCAAATATTACATTTTAACAATCCAAAACTTTCACTCAAAACCTCCAGTAGTGAGTAAAGGAGGTTTATTTTAAATGTTATCTTTACATTCAATATTTTGGGTGGTTGGTGTGGAAAAATCTCAAAAAAATTAGGCATTTAATGTGTGTTGGAGTCATTAGAATTGCTTTGAGATTAGTTTTGATGCAAGTTTAATCTCTATGCTGTACTGATCTCAAAGCAAATCTAATGGCTTTGAGTCTTATTATGACTGATTTTGAAATCAGGATATTCTGACAACAAAAATTTTCGGTTATGTACTATGGTTTTCTTCATGTTTATTTCCTGTATTTTACAACGGAACCCAGCAGGGAGCTGCAGGTTGGCGTTCTTGAGGCCATAGAAAAAAATTTTGAATCTGTGGTATGTTTAAATGCCCAAACTATATTATGTCTGTAACAATATTTATTAACAGAACGATATAAAAAGGTTTATAGTGTTAATATACTTTAGAATTTCAATATTGCCCTTCTTTTGCATTGTATTTTCTGTTTATGTGGCCTTTCAGAATTTCAACTGATTTTGTAGTGTGAATTCCCTTTATATGCTGATGCCCTCCTTTTGTTGAAGTATTAGCTTCCTTTTTGAAATTAGCAGATAAAAATTGTCTTAATTGCATGTTTATGTGAACCATCCGATTAGAAGAATAGATGTTTTAGATTCGACTTTATGTTAAGAAAGGCAGAGGTAGACGTAAGAAGACTTGGGCATGTTGTATAAAATATGATCTTAATTTATTAGAATTAAATGAAAATATAATACTAGATAGGACGCAATGGAGAAAATGGATTCATGTAGCGGACCCTGTTTGGTGGGATAAATGTTTTGTTATTATTGTTGTTATTGTTGCATGTTTATGTTAAACTGTTATGGTTGAGGGAGCGCGTATTTTGCCAAGTGATTTTTCAATTCATTTTTATTTAAGCATTATGATAAGAATATTATTTGGATATCAAATATAGCATATTAGAAGTTCAATTAATGGCACTTTGTAAACGTGTTATGAGCCTACTTTGTGAGTGGGATCAGGCTTAGCCTAGTACGTGGCTTACGAGCTGAGCTCAATGAACTAGGATGACTTAGACTTCGGCATGTTAAGAAAGGCAGAGACGTAGGAAGACTTCGGCATGTTGTATAAAAAATTATCTTAATTTATTAGAATTAATGAAAATAGGACACTAAATAGGACACAATGGGGAAAATGGATCATGTAGCCGACCTCGCTTGGTGGGATAAAGGTTTTGTTGTTGTTGCATGTTTGATAGAGCGCGTAATTTGCCATGTGATTTTCCAATTCATTTTTATTGAAGCATTATGGTAAGAATATTATTTGGTTATCAAATATAGTATATTAGATGTTGAATTAATGGCACTCTGTAAACGTGTTATGAGCCTACTTGTGAGTTGGATCAGGCTCGGCCTAATATGTGGCTTACGAGCTGAGCTGAGCTCAATGGACTACTCTGGCTTAGACTCGTAAGCTCTCGAGCCTCTTAAGCAATATTAATATTAAACGTTACTCGAAATATATTAAAATTTATACTGTATATAAAGTGATTTTTTTAGTATATGTCTCTTTATTCCTCATTTTATTTGTAATTTAGGTATATTTTAGGAAGATTGTAATACATAAATATTCATGAACTCTTGTAATACATTGTTAATAAATCTGTTAAATCTATTTTTCTTATGGATTTTGTAAATCCTAATTTAAGTTGAAATGAATGCCTAAGTCATGGATTCATTGATCAATCATATTCAAAGGTGCTACAAAATACACCAGTCAGTCTATTTTTTCTCTATAGAATTTGATTAATTAAGTAGATATTATACTGATTTGAAATTAAAATTAATGACTTTAAGATTTATCATTGCTGAAATGTGATAAGTATATGCGGAGTCCAGCTGTTTTTACTGTTTTCCTGGATATGTTGTCGACCTGGCAAAGTTTTGGCCTCTTTTATATATTATTTTGGAGTGCTTTCCTTTCAGAAAGCTTTGCATGCTTGAATTGATCTTTATTATTTATTTTTGTGCATCTGGCTCTGTAAGGATCTTAACATTATAATTTTTCTACTTATAAGAATCATAATAAAAGATTCAAGATAAATAAAAATTTGTCTTTGTTCGTGATCGGCTCGCTGAGTAAACGGGCTGATCACGAACACTTTTTTGTGGTCGAATTATAAACGAGACGAACACGAACTGTGATATCATTTACACCCCTAGTAATCACTATATTTCAAACTAACTTTTTGTCCTGATTATTTTTTAGCTTTGATATTACTAATGTATTATATATAGTAAAAAATTTCTCAAGTATTTCCTCAATCAAGCACAAAATAAAACTCGAGCAGAGTTGAAAGAACGAACTCAAAAAATAATCTGATTATAGATTTAATATTGTTGAAATTTTAATCAAATATTATTATTTTTAAATTTTTGTTGTTTCTCTCTACTAATGGTTTCGAGTTCTTATTGAATTTGCCGAGTCTAAGCGTGTGATACTTGGGGCTACAAGATCAGGGCTGTCGATAATTAGATCTTTCAGGGCGCAGGCCGAAGACAAAGAAGTTCTGTTTCGTTGCAATGAACGTTTTTGCGTGGATTTATTTTCAGTTGGTAAAACAATATCTCCTAAAGTTATTTCAACAAAATGATAAATTTTCATGAATGTATTTCAAAGACGTGACTTTTAAAAAAGCTTCGCTGAATGATAAAATAAGCACTTAATATTTGTAGTATACCAAAGATAATGTCCATCTCACTATTGCAAAAAGCTTTTATTCATGTGAAATATATGACCAATCACACACGAGTAAAATGAAATTCATTCCTTATTTAAAAAATATTTCTTAATTTGAAGTATCTAAATTTTCCATACAGGCCATCCAAAATATTGTTATTTACAAATCACGCATTCTCTTTGATCTATTTTTCAAATTTCCGCTCAAATATTCGAGGTCATCATAAAAATCCAACCCATATTTTTCATTTTTATCAAATTCACGATGATTTGATGGTGACAGACGTAAATACATCTGTCTTATAGTTCAAAAATTTTCTTAAATCCTTGATTTATAAATAATAATGTTTCTTATGTTCTATATGCAATTATTCCTAAATTTTCATATAAATACATAAAAGATTATAAGAAAATTTTCCAAATTGATTGCATTGTAATGGAACCAGCAGCGACCTATCTTCTGATCTCCAGCATTTAGTTTTACTTATTTTACAGTTGAGGTGACCGGAAGCCATTAATGGCCGCTTCGTCCCCAAGCTAAGCCCATCCCTTTCACTTCCTAATTCAAACACCTCGCCCAAATCTCTCATCATCAAAACCACACCGAAAGCTTCGCTCTTTCAATTAATTCTCCCTTTTAAAAAAAAAAAATTTAATCTTGCTTTCATCTCCCTAATGAATTCCAACCACCCCATCACCTTCCTCAGCTGCAACTGCTGTTCCTCTCATCCAAATCGCCAACTTTTGTTCATACTTGAAAGCGATTTCGTTTGACAATTTCGTACACGACAACGAGGAAGCTGTCGGCTAAATTATTATAAATCTCCCCTTTTTGGTTAGGGTAGATGGCCGAACCGTCTAATGGCGGCGATTCCGAAGTTATGAGGTACGATTGATCGAATGGCTTCTGCGTTTCGTCTTTTGTATCGGTGAGAAATTTTGGTGGGGAAGAAAGAATGCTTTTTGCGTTTTGTAGAAAACCCTTTCCACAAAATCTGGTTTTGATTTGCTTGCTTTTGCGATTTTCTCGCTTATTTATACATTAAGGTGAAGCCCCCCATCTTCTTTTGTATCGGATCGAGTCGTTCAGTCGGCTTTTAGTGAGAGGATTAGGGTTTGTTCATACTCTTCAGCTCCGGCATAAATCTTACTGGTAGGAGGAGAACGGAAGATGGTCAGCAGTGCGCAGGGAGAGCATGGTTCCTTCCACTCCAACGGATCGATTTCAAATTCCAACGGTACAGAGGAGAGATTGGATGAGTTCCGAAGCTTGCTGGGAAAACCTAATGGTGATCTCCTGAAGATAGTGAGCATTGGTGCCGGTGCATGGGGCAGTGTTTTTGCCGCCTTGTTGCAGGATGCTTATGGCCAATTTCGTGATAAAGTTCAGATTAGGATATGGCGGCGGCCGGGGAGATCCGTGGATCGATCGACGGCGGAACATCTCTTTGAGGTGATTAACTCTAGAGAGGATGTGCTCCGGCGTCTGATTCGGCGCTGTGCTTATCTGAAATACGTTGAGGGAAGACTGGGTGATCGAACTCTGTATGCTGATGAGATTCTAAGGGATGGATTTTGCTTGAACATGATCGAAACGCCACTTTGTCCTCTCAAAGTTGTGACGAATTTGCAGGAGGCGGTGTGGGATGCGGATATTGTGATAAATGGATTGCCGTCAACGGAGACGAGAGAGGTTTTTGAGGAGATTAGTCTGTATTGGAAGGAGAGGATTACTGTTCCGATCATAATATCATTGGCTAAGGGTGTAGAGGCAGCATTGGATCCAATTCCGCGAATAATAACTCCTACACAGATGATTCAATTTGCCAGTGAGTTTTTCAGCTTCATTATTTCAGTTTTTTATAGAATATTGCTGCACTTCCTGGATAAATTTACACTAAAAATGATATTTTTATTGATCCTTTTGATATATTGTTAGTTCTTGTGCTTGGAGTTGATGTGGATGTATAAGTTTTGTTTCTCTCTTTTTTTGTTGGGCTAGAACAGATCTGGGAAATCACTTAGTTTGAATGTGGATTTGGTTGGAGAATGTAGATTGATTTGTGTAAATTCAAAATATATTTGTTTTTCCTAGTCATTTGAAGCTAAATGATGTAAGGAGTGCTTTAAAGATTACTGTTTGGAAACATTGGATCTGTTTTTGTTATGCTTTGATTCTTGATATTGAAGTTAATTTATAGCTCTTATTTGCATTAGTATCCTTATTTAATTCTATCATTAGTTTGTGTCAACATTTATAGATTAGAATTATGCATGTCGCTGCTTTCCATCAAACCTGTCGAAGTAGGCAGTGGTAAGATTTTGCGGAAATCCCGTGTTTTTCGTATATATTTGGTTGTTAAACTTGATCGAATAAGTTGAATTCCTGAAAGTGGAATTGGAAAAAATGTCTTCCGTAGAACATTTTTGTAGAAAATTCTATCACTAACCATATTCCTATACAATTAAATGCTTTTATTCTCTCTCTCTTTTAATGCTGTTTTGTTTCTTTCTCTCATATTTCCAATGCCTCAATAACTGTATTGCAGCTGGTGTTCCTGTTGAGAACATTCTTTACCTTGGAGGCCCAAATATTGCTTCGGAAATTTACAATAAGGAGTATGCCAATGCTAGAATTTGTGGAGCTCAAAAATGGAGGAAATCTCTTGCAAAGTTTCTAAGGCAACCTCATTTTATTGTGTGGGATAATAGCGACCTCGTCACTCACGAAGTTATGGGTGGCTTGAAAAACGTCTATGCTATTGGCGCGGGTAAGAATTTATTAGTTTCAACAATGCTCTATAAATAAGGTGAATGTTGTAAAGATTATATTAGATTTTGTAAATAAGACAGTTAAAATAACCTGAAACTTGCATTATCGTTAAAAAAAGGTCTTAGGCATTGTAGTTGAAAGTCATGGCGGATCTAGTTGGAAAAGAAAGGGAAATTTACATATGTAGCGCACAATTCTTATGTATTTATGTATCTCACATCGAAAAGTTCATATTTATACATACATAGCATATTGTAGTTTAAGGCAGCTTGAGGTTTCAGTGATTGTCCTACATAGGAAGGTGGTTTAATAGGCTTGATTGAAAAGGTGGAGCCTAAATAATGGAAAGGGGCTAACATGTTTTTAGGCAGGATTGTGAAGTAGAACAAGCACCGTCGAAATTTGACACTTCTGATTAAATTAGCAATATGTGTGATGTGTCTGATGAGGAGCTTGAGGTTTATAGTTGATGTTAGAGACATGAGCTTACATCTAGTTGATCTATTTCATTTTGATTCTTCATTATGTTGGAGCCATAGAATCTTAATTTCAGTTATAAAAGGTGTCTCTCATTACATTCACACTAACCATCCCTCAGATATTGGAGCAAGTTCATATATCTCTAATTTTTCTGATGCAACTATATTGTGCGTAGTATGATTTTATGTAAAGGAAATTAATTCATCAACATACTTTCTTTAAATATAATGGCAATACTTAGTTAAGTGTTGCCGAGATGAAAATGATTAGGTGGATGAGTGGCTTTACACTTAGAGACAAAACGCGAAATGAATATCTTCGTGATAGGGTTGGTGTAGCTCTAATGACAGACAAAATTAGGGAGAGTCGTCTTAGATGATTTGGTCACATTAAACGTCGACCATCTGATGATCCGATTAGGAGAGTAGATGTTTTAGATTTGACTTATGTTATGAAAGACAGAGGTAGGCCTAGGAAGACTTGGGCTTATTGTATAAAAAATGATCTTAATTAATGGGCAATACTAAAATTAAAATTTAATTGTTAAGGAAATGTTTAAAATAATTTGAGAAATCCATATAGGATCATATAAAATGAATAAAAAATAATTTAATTTTCACAAATTGTATTTTTATGCGTCTATTTTTGGTCAAAATTAAGAGCCCAAAATGAGTTATTATCAAATTATATAAATGAAATACAACAAAAAAATATTAAGTGAGAAAATTTTGGCCTCACATTGCTATAAAGAGATGATTTCTCTCAAAATTAGTAGTCAAACTTATACCATGCTTAGGGGAATTACACAACCAACTTATACTCGTAAAATTTGAATGAAAAGGAGAAATTTTACTCCTTCCAAAAATAGCTCATTATATCCCCAAGAGAAACTATTTGTAGCTTTTGCTATCCTAGGCTAGTTGGTATAAGTGCCATAACATTCAAATTAATTTAAGTTAAAATCCCAAACTTCTAACCCAAATAGCTTTGCACTCCCGGATAACTAAAAATAAAGACTGCAAGATAATTAAAAAATAGCAGTAATATCGCAATTACTATTTGTAAGTAACTTGTTTTCACAAAGCCTCGTGCATATAAAAGTCTCAAGAGCAGGAATCATGCACAACTTCAGTGTTAAAACATCATCTACTCCCGCCCACAATTATCCAAAAGTAGTGGACTATAAAATTTTAATTGGCAATTTCTTCCTTACATTCATTTTCTTAGGAATCTTTTATGGAAGCCTTTTTGGACTTTGCAGCCGTGTTTAAATTCCACATATCTTCTATTGGCATTAACAAAAAGCTTGTATTTTTCTAATTATTAGCCGATTTTCTTCCATTAACCTTATACAACTTATGCATTTGCTTTGCAAATGATTTTGTAAATGTGTTAAGGCCTAGTATTTTTAGGAAATTCAACTTTATTTACAAATTTTTAGGCTATACCTTGTGATAATCTCAATATAGTCATGCCAATATATATATTGATGGATGAATTATAAGCAAATTTAGCCAATAGACAATATAAAATTTCACATATATTTATGGGGTATTATATCTGATAACATAATAAATCTACTATACGCATTAGTTAGATGATCAATTTGTGTATGGTAAGGAATTAAAGATCCATGTTGAACTTTCTTATTTTAAAGGTATTTTTGAAATAATTATGAATTTGATATCTTGATCACAAATAATTATTATAAGTAATGCATGTAAATATATTCACTTTATTAAATTACATTTTAACCATATGAGATGCATAAAAAATTTTAGGGGCGATCACGTACAGGCCACCCGAAGCATGTTATTTAAAAATCAACCCCCCTCTTTCCTCTATTTTTCAAATTCTCACTTAAATATCAAAATTCATGTTAAAATCCCAACCCATATTTTTCTTTCTTATAAAATTCTCAATAATTTGATCGTGGCACGCGTAAATACATCGATTCGGTAGTTCAAAAAAAAATCACTTGGGCGGTTAATTTGTAAATATGAATGTTTTGAGTGATCTGTATGTAATATCCCAAAATTTTATTAATGGTATGAAATGTGATATTTTTTAAAATTAATTTACAGCTAAAAATTGATTTATTCTTTTTCAATATTTGTGGAAAACTAAATACAAAATTTATACTGACATTCTTCCACATATGGAAAACTAGGGAATGACTGTAGGATTTCATTACGGAAATTCTAGACCCCAAGATGTCCTATGTCACACGAAAATACGAAAATGTCATAAAAAATCGTCTAAAAGTGTAAATATACAAATTCAAGGGAAAAAAAGCTGAAAATGTTGAAAAAATCATAGAATCCCTTTAAATTCAAAATACCCAGTTATTTTATGCTTTTTCATATGTTGCTCATGGAACATTTTATGTTTCTTCAGTTTAGATTTAGAAAATGGAGATAAAGAGGTATTCTCGACAAAAAATTAGATTAATATATTCACATTTTCAGTGTTATGTTTTTCTTAAGGAATCCTGTTTTGCCTCTTGGAAACTTCAACAATTCCTTCATCATTTTTTTCGGCCTTGCCATTGAGGCAACCGTATTTTGCTTCTGATGTTCTACTGTTGTTGCATTTTAATCTTGGGAGTTTCTCAGTTTTTTCAGTTTCTTTTCCATTTTTACTTGGTTTGAAATTAGTATTTTGGTTGGTCAATCACTAGAAGGAAGCAAAACAAGATTAATTCTACTTAAAAGCTATATGTACAGCTTTACTCATCAATTTTTCTGCATTTCAAATTGTTGAATTGCAGTTACATTTGGAAGGTTAACTATTTATGATTTTTTCATTATTTGTAGTATTAAATGAATCAAATATTGGACTAAAACATTAGGGTGCCTATGTGAAAGTATTATAGTACATCGGACAATCTTAATATGTGATGTAGTGAACTGTCGATTTTATTCATATTTAAATTCTCTCTTTCGATTCCTTCAAAACAAACAATGCCATAATGATCTTTACCCTTTATCATGTGATATTAGAAATATGAATAATTTGAGTCTATTCAAGCTTAAGCCACCCTTGGCTTGAGTTTGAGCTTGATTAATTAATCAAGTTCAAGCTTATTCTAAGTTCGAGTCGATTCATGGGACGGCTCGTTTATTATGAAAGGGAGAATGATTTTGTTTCAAGCTAATTCAATAATAAAATGAACTAATTAATAAACAATTAGAGGATAAATAATAATAAATCACTTGATATAAATATTTAAATATTTTTAATAATTCATACTTAATGTATTGAATTTTAATATATTTTAAGTCTATTTTATATTATTATTTTTTTTAATGAGCCGAATCATGAGCTAACAAGCGGAGTAGAAGCAAGCTCTAGCTTGGCTACAACGATGCCATATTGCTGTATTCCTCATAAAAAACATCCAAGAATTAAGCAAAAAGCCTCTGATACAATCTTTGTTTCATGAGATTTTGGTTCCTTAGCTTACTTTACGACTTTTGTTTCACCTCATTAAATACCTCATCACATGCATTCATCTAAAGTTTCCACAATAACTTAAAAAATCGAACACAGAAGATAATGGTTAGATCAATGTTCTCAATTACTAATTTTGCTGAAATTATATTGCTTACAATTTAAGTGTCAAAATAGTCAATTGGCTATTTAAAATGGGATCATTTTAGTCCCAGAGTTTATAAAAGTATTTAAACAGTTCCCAAATTTTTTTAATGAGCCCTAAAATAGTCCTCACTAGGGACTAATTTAACTCATATTAAAAGAACTCAGGGACTAAATTGACTCACTTATAAACTCTAGGATTAAAATGGCCTCGCTCAAAGAGTCAGGGAAACTTTTAACAATTTTGATGAATAATTGTAAGCCATTTTCATAATATTCTTCAAGGAAATCATAAAGAATGTTATTATCCTTTATTATGTGTTATTTTCTCAATATTTACATCCATACACATGAAACAATAAATCATTATTCCTTAGACCACTTTTTAGTTTAACCAGGTATGTCCTAACTGCTTCTTTCTTGACTTTCCATCACCAATTTCTCTGATTCTGTCAGAAATTTAATATTTGATCTGCTTTTCTTCTCTTCAGGTATGGTAGCTTCCCTAACCAATGAGAGCGCAACTAGCAAATCAGTATATTTCTCACACTGTACATCTGAGATGATATTTATAACTCATCTCTTAGCCGAGGAACCGGAGAAGCTCGCTGGTCCGTTGCTCGCGGATACATACGTAACTCTTTTAAAAGGTCGAAATGCGTGGTACGGCCAGATGCTTGCGAAGGGGGATTTGAGTCCGGACATGGGCGACAGCATCAAAGGGAAAGGGATGATCCAGGTTTGCTTCTTGAGTCATAATAACTCTTCTTCGCATTTCAGGCAATTACTGTGGGAAAATAAGATATTTTGAAATTTTAGTTATTTCTGTTTGGATTTGATTTGAATAATTCTTGGATCGGGTTTGGGTTGACTCGGATTCAGTCTGTATCCTGTGTTTAGGTGTGAGATAGATAAATATGAAAAATTTGGATGCTATGTTTGTAAAAGCCCCTATTTTTTTAATGCTTGCAAGGGAGATCTAAAAATTATATCAACTACAATTCATTGTCTCTATTTTTTTTAACTTTGTAGGGTGTTTCTGCCGTGGGCGCTTTTTATGCACTTCTGAGTCAACCCAGCTTAAGCGTTTTACATCCGGATCAAAACGAGCCGGTCGTTCCTGTCGAGTTATGCCCCATCCTTAAGACGCTCTACAAAATTTTAATAAAAAGGTTGGTTCTATTTCTTCCCTTTTTGGTTCTATGCTATGATCAAAGTAGTAATAATCAAAATTGCCTATTTTAGTCAACGGCTTTTTAAGCGTTCAATTTATTCAACACTCCAAATCTGAAAAAGTTGGTTTTTTTCGTCAACTTTGTCATTTCTATGGGGACTAAAATGCACAGACCTAATACAATCATTGCACATTTTGCCTTGAATCACACTAGGCTTTGGCTCTCTCTCCTTTCCTTGAAAAAAAAGGAAGATTTACATACACACTACTCAATTCTTATGTATTTACATATTAGGGTTTGTTTGGGGCAACTGCAGTTTATTGAAGTCCTATACTTCAACTTTTACATGCACACCACATACCTATACTTGACAAGGTGTATTTTGCATATTAAAAATTAAAGTGATCGTATTTTTATGTGATATGAAAGATTTGGGTTATATAAATGTAAAAAATAAAGTTTAGGTATTAGATATGTAAATAAATAGGAATTGGTTGGTATGTGGAAAAGTGTCAAAATAGTCCCTTCACTCTTTGCATGGTCATTTTAATCCCAAAATCTATAAAAACGTCAATTAGTCCCCATACTCTTTAAGGGGCTCTCTGGCAATGGATTTAACCCAGGATTTACGTAGGATTTAAGCGTAATCTTGCCAGACGGTCATTTTGGACAATCTAAATTCCCGGACGTCGTATATTTGAATTCTGCAAATTTCGGATATAAATTCTGTAAATCCTAAATTCTACGAACTGATGGATTTAACTTCGTGGACTTCCGACTGTCTCCAATAGTCATAGTGACTTCTTAAATCCTTACATAAATTGCCAAACAGTTTTATTAGATTTACAGAATTTAGTAAGTGAGACAGATTTTCAGATTTAACCCATTCAGGATTCAGTAAATCCGGATTTATGGGATTTACTAAATCTTGATACCTGAAATCTCAGATGTTGCCAGACAATAATCTCAACGGATGATTAATTCAGCCCCAATTTAATGAGCCTGATGACTAATTTGACACTTTATAGGCTCTAGGATAAAATGAACCAAAATAAAAAGTATCTTTTCATTTTACCACTTGATGAAGAACCGAATTCCAGCACTCACCCTAATTTATTTCTACAGGGAAGTTTCAGTGCAGGCCATTCTTCAAGCCCTGAGGGATGAAACAATGAATGACCCTCGTGAAAGGATTGAAATAGCACAGAGCCATGCCTTCTACCGCCCATCTCTGCTCAGCAAATCTTAACTTCTGTTCCCGCTTCTTCCGCCGTTGCTGCTAATTCAAAGCCGCAAAACAAAGAAGAAGAAGAAGAAGAAGAAGTGATCTGAATCTTCTTCTGGAGCAGTATCTGCAGGCTCTCTGATCTCCATTGTGTGCCAAAATTTTTGTCTGTTAATGTAAGTTTATATACTTCTTCTGAAAACTGGTTCCATTTATTATTATGAGTAATGGTTCTTTCAAGCTCAAGAGTACAATAATGGTGGAGTGGATAGCATGGTGTTGATTATGGCTTTGTAATTGGTAGTGAAGGGAATTGTTTTCTTACCATAAATTTCATTTGTCTCTTGATGTGTAATCTCTGTTTTTTGTTTTGTTGTTTTTCAGAGTTTTTCAGAAAAAAAAAAAAAAAATTGATTTTTTGAAGAGTTGATTCTGATTTTGTATAAGCATATGGATAGAGCAGTTTAATGTTTATGCTGGCATGATGATTTTGTTTCATATGACATGGTAAAGGGGCGTTTACATACATAACACCCATTTCTTATGTATTTACATATCTATCATCTGAGCTTTATTTGTTATGTTTATGCCAACCATAAGTTTCATATCTCATAAATAAAATACTACTGTTTTAACTTTTGAAAGTTTAAATACATCCTTTTCATGCATAGATAAGGTGGTATATATGTAAAGATTGAAGTATGGGTGTTAGATTTGTAAATACGTTGATGTTAAGTGGTATGTATGCACAGAAATCTTGAGGTTTTCTATAGTGATAATTATATACAGATCATCTGAAATATTGATATTTACAAATTAATCCAGTAGATGTATTAATGTGTGACGCCACGATCAAACAATTGAGAATTTGATAAATAAATAAATATGAATTGGGTTTTTATGTAGCATGTATGTGCAGAAATCATGAAAATTAATCATGTTTATGTAGCATATTAATTATATAATACAAACACGTGTCTTACGAGGATTGGATGGCATTTCTATAATGAAACATTCATTTGGCTAAGCTATGGTTAAATCTTTAGAATTTGACCCCAGCAAAAGGTTCGGGTTGTAATTTTTGTGAATTTTGATTTTTGGGTGAGAATTTGATGAATGAAGGCCACAGAGTGGAAAGAATATTACACGTTGAGTCTGGATGTATTCGGAGTTTGTGCATAATGAGGTTGTTGCATGTTATACAAAAATTTGTACAACTTGTACAACTTCGTTGTACACGTAGTCTTGATGCATACGGACTCTGCACATAATATGTTTTCTAGGGTGAGCCCTCGATTAATTAGACAATAAGTGTTGCACAAAAAAAATTAGGATAGTTTATAATTATGATCTAAGTTAGGTCATTTCTATAGACATAAAAGTCATTATGATATTTTATGTCTTATAAAATGAACCATTTGTAATTTTTTTTTAATTGATATTTTGCAAATCAAGAAAATATCTCTTATTGCATTATGACATATATGTTATATCTTGATCTAAGTTAAGGAGGATATAGCCATAGAATTTTTAGTGAAGGGAAAGGGATTTTTAGAGAATTTCAATTCTTTGTTCATCATCTTATGTTATTCCAAATATGCTAACTAATATTGTTGGTTGCCATCGCCTTCAACCTTTCACTAGTTGGAAACTAAGCTTCAGTATACATCAATCATCGATTTGTGACTATGTATTATTGATCTCCCGTACTGTAAAATAGTAATCAAGTTGATCGTTCATCATCGTCCAACTTTTAAATATTCCTTAATAATCATCCAATGCCACAAATTATTTTTATTCAACATCCTTCTTACAATAATATTTAATGCTCGTCTTCCTAATTGCCCAATCTTGAGAATGGCAAGGTTGACTTGCAATTTTCGCTTAACTTTGATGTTCCCCATAATTCATCTTCCGACACCTGCTAATGACTAACATGCAATATCTACTATCTATTAACATCCAATGTTTGACTTCTCGGTTGCTTAATACTCATTTTATTAGTAGAGTTAAGTTGATGAAACACAATTGCCTAACTTTTGATGCTCCTTGTTGATCATCTTTTGGGGTCCATCTAAAAATATTTAACATTCATCTTCCTAGTCACGAAATCTCGAGCATCGCAAGGTCAATCTACCATTTGTGCTTAACTTTGACATTTCCCATAGCTTACAATCAACATCTGCTAATGACTAACATATAACATTTACTATCCATTAACATAATATATCTACCCTCTCGATCACTACCAATTTTATTAAAACAAAGAAGTTGATAAACAATGTTTTGCCTACCTTTCGAATGTTCTTTCCCAATCCAGACTTTCTCTAATGGATGCTCATAGATCAAAATCTAGCACCGGCCCTTTATTTCGTCATATCGCCGTCGATTCTACCTTAGATACTACCTTCAGATACTTGTCATGACATATGGCTAACCATAGAGTGAAGCCTTCAATGCTCTAGTCACTCTTGCATCATTCAGCTAAATAATGAGCTTCACAACCAAAGTATGGCAAACAAGAGTATGAATCAGTACCTCTTGGAAGTCAAGACGAAGGTGGATATCCTTGTTGCAGTCGAGAACTCTCTTAATCCGAAGGACATCATTCACCACACCCTTAATGGTCTACCTTCTACATATCACACATTCAAAAGAGCCATCCACACCAATCTTAATCCACTCTCCCTCAACGACCCTACACATTATTACGCAGCAAAAAAATAAACCTAGCAAATGAAGCCCTAAAAGAACAATCCAACACCATCACACTCTTTGCCTCTCGAGGTCCAGGCAAAACCAGGGGCCAATTGTCCTCCACAAGAGGTAACAAGCATGCTTCTTCATCCTAATCCAACTATGACTCCAATTGCAGCAACCGACCTCATCCAATTTGTCTGATTTGTCATAAAATTGGGCATGAAGCATTTAAGTGTTGGTATCGTCATGACAAGTTGTATCAAAGTCTAACAGGCCTCCTTACCGCCAATGCCGAAACTATGGACAACAAATGGTACATTGACAGCGATGTCACCGAGCAAATGACTTCAGATCCAAACCATCTTCACAATGCTCAAACATATCAAAGAGGCAATACCATATCCGTCGACAACAGTCAACAACTTCCCATCACTCAAATCGGACAAGGAATTCTCTCAACCCCTAAAAATAAGCTTACTCTCTCTAATCTTCATCACATCCCAATTCTTGCATACAATCTCATTTTCGTTCACAAATTAACCCAAGGTAATTTGTGTTCTATTATCTGCAAAGCCGATGGGTACCACATCACTGATCTCAAGACCAATCAAACAATACTTACTGGCCCCTGCATTCGTGGACTGTACCCAATTCAAAATCCTTTAGGTCAGCATCCTCCCATAGACTTCACTCTTGTCTCTGTCCAACACGATCCACAACTTTGGCATCAATGACTCGATCAACCTTCAAGCTCAAGGGGTCCCTTCTTACACTCTCTTTCCAAGCAATCACATTGTAATTCATGTCATGTAGCAAAGAGCCATAAGCTCTCTTTTATAAATTCTAGTACTATATCATTGTTTCCACTAGAACTAATTCACTCCGATGTATGCGGAGCTTTTCCCACCCCATCTATGCAAGCATGCAAATATTGCTTAGTCTTTATTGATGATTTCACATGTTACACATGGATCTACGTTCTTCGAAATAAAAGTGAAACCGCTCAAAAATTTCTACACTTCAAAAATTTGGTGGAAAATCAATACTCCCATAAAATCAAATCCATTGGCACGGATGGTGGAGGAAAATACATAAATAAAATTTTTAGCTAATAACCACCCAATATGACATTTTACATAAAAAATCTTGCCCTCACACACTTGAACAAAATGGACTAACGGAAACATCGTCATCTATTTGATATCTCTCATGCTCTCATGACAACAACCTCCCTACCACAAGATCTCTGGGCCAACACCCTTCTTACAACAACATGTATCATAAACTGTCTGCGTTAGGTAACAACAACACAAAGTCCCCATATGAACTCCTCCAAAATTGTTTGCCCTCCTACACCCGCCTCAAGTTATATGGATGTCTTCCTATCCTTGGCTAAAATCATACTCCCACATCAAACTTGCTCCACTCTCAACTCCATGTGTCTTTCTCGGCTATGCCACCTAACATAAAGGTTACCGATGTCTTGACCCACTCTCTCACAAACTCTACATTTCTCGCCACTTTCTCTTTAATGAACAAATCTTTCCCTTCTCCCAACAAGCCCAAACCACACTACCTAAAACCATCTCTTCCATATTACACCCTCATTTACTTATCACACCAACATCTTCAATTCCCAAAACAACTTTCACCATAATATCTCCCCTCCCACACCAATCACGACTCCATCAGCTCCACCTAAACCACCAACTCCCATTACTCATCATTCCCCTCCTCCCTCAATACCACCCGAACAATCCCTCCCACCACAAGTAACCGAACAAACCATCCCACCACCCCCACCACAATCTCACAACCACATGCACACCCGTCTTCAAACGAGTCACCTTAAACCACGCCAAATATTAAATCTTACCCATCAAGTCATATCAGAGCCAACCTCCTTGGGTCCAAATGGACATATAACGTATCAAACTAAACTCCGATGAATCCATCTCTCGCTAAAAAGCCCACTTAGTAGCTCAATCCTACAAACAACAACACGGTCTTGAATATACCGACACATTCAGCCCTTCTCACTGTATCACTCGATCACCAATGACCCATTCTTCAATTGCACATTTCCAACTCATTCCTCTACAGTCACCTCAATGAAACCATCTACATGTCCCAACCACAACCACAAGGCTATATCGATCCCAATCATCCAAACCATGCCCTAAAACAAGCTCCAAGCCAATGGTTGGCCACTCTATCCAATAGGGAGAAAAGAAGCCGCGATTGGGGCAGAGACCGATGACGATTCTCTCGGCACGCAGAAGGAAATCGGGCGAGTGGAGGCATTTCGGTGTGGGGCGGTGCAACAGGGAGGAACGATCGGCCTTGGGCGGGCGAGGAAGACGGAAAACAAGACTTCGATTTTGTGTGGGGAGATGGAGCGATCACAGTAGCAAGCTTTTAAATCATTAAAAAACCTGATTTCATACCATTTAAGTTATCCAGCTCTCTGAGAGAAAGCAGTACCAGTCTGCATGAACACAGAACCATAAGCCATGGATGCAACTCACCAAGCAAACAAACACTCATTTTGTTGCAGCAACAACAACATTCATCCTCACCTAAAAGGACTACATTTCCCCCAGCTCACCAATGACCTCTCAGAATCAATACTGAAGTGTTTCGCAGCGCCGGCGCCGCCTCCTCTCACCCTCTGCGATCTCTGAAAATTCAACGGAACCTTCGTCGGCGGCGACGAAAGAAGCTTTTCCGGCGAATCCTTTCTCCCCTGTCTCTGTTTCGGCGTGCTCGCTGATCTGAACTTTGCCATTGTTGAAGCTGTGGATGCCATGTAGCCTGGAAAGTATGGAGAGCTTGAGAAGAAATCATCGTCCTTCCATCGAGCTCGTTCCGCTCGTTCCGACCGGTTGAAAGATCTCCTCCTCCCCTGATACATCAGCTCGAACTCTTCAGCTCTGGAGTTTAAGAAGGCAGGGGAGTCTGAAGCATAAAGGTGCTGGTTTTGAGCAGTTTGATCATGGCATTGTGGAGGTGAGATTTCATGGATGTCTTTATCTTGAGGTTGTGAGTCCAGTCTGCTCCAGTTTGTGTGAAGATTTTTGGTGTTTGATTCGTGATCTGATACTGAGATTGGTGTTGTTGGATTTGCAGAATGTCTTCTTTCCTGAATGGTGGAAATTTTCAGTTGTTACATTTCTACCAACCAAATGTTTCATATGACATCAAAAAGACAATCATGTTATGCACATTTTCATTAGTATGTAAAACTTCAATTTTTTTTATGGGGCATTTACATATGTGTAACCCAATTCTTCTGTATTTACATGTTTTAACACCCATACTTCAATTATTACACATTTAAATCACTGCAATCTTTCATGCCACATCAAAAAAATGGTGGCTTTTATCTTCTAAAATGTGAAATATGCATCTTTCATGCATAGTGAAGGCGGCATGTATGTAAAAATTTAAGTTTATGAGCTAGATAAGTAAATATAAAAGAATTGAGTGGTATGTATGTAAGTCCTCTTATTATTTTTTTTATATTTTTACCATTCAAATCTTTCATATTACATCAAAATAGCACCATGTTAACTTTTAAAAAATGAAATACATCATTTCATGCGCATATCTAACACCTGAATTTGATTTTTTACATTTCTACCACATCTTAGCTTTTCATGTAAGATCAAAAGTATCATTATTATAATTTTTAGAAGTAAAATGAGTCTTTTTCATGCATAGTGAAGTATGTATGTAAGTTTTTTTATTATTTCTAACATTTTTATCACCCAAATCTTTTGGTAACACATCAAGAATGTCAACATGTTAACATCTAAAAAGTGAAATGCATGTTTTCATGCATATCTAACACCTAAATTTTATGTTTTACATTTCCACCACCCAAATCTTTTCACATAACATCAATAATATCACCATGTTAACTTCTAAAAAGTGTGACAGACCTTGTTATGCATAAGGTAAGGTGGCATGTATGTAAAAATTGAAGTTTTGCATGTATGTAAAAATTGAAGTTTAGGCGTTAGATATGTAAATACATAAGAATTGAGTGGTATGTATGCAGATATTGCATTAAATTATGCAAATTTGATGAAAAGTTGCTTACTTGATGAGCGGATGCATAATCCATTGCTCTCTCTCGCTTAAAGGCGGCTTCTTGACGCTTTCTGAGTAATGAAATGATTTCTTCCTTTGACAAGATGCTGCCATTCCAGACTCTGTCACTGTGCTGAAGATATGGATTGAAATATTTGTGAGAAGAATATATAAAAGGAAAATTTGCATACATACCCACACAATTCTTATGCATTTACATATCTAACACCGAAAGTTTGATATTTATACTTATAACACCTTGGTGTCGTAAAATTATGCATGAAAAGATGCATTCTTTTAGAGGCAGGTATTTTTGATGTTATGTTAAAAGTTTGAGAGGTATTCATGTAAATATGAATGTTTAGGTGTGAATGTAAGTACATAAGAATTTTGTGGTATGTATGAGCATTTACATAGATACCACACAATTCCTATGTATTTACATATCTAATACCTAAACCTTACTTTTTGACATTTATACCACTCAAACTTCTCATATCACATTATATATCACCATTTTAACTTCTCAAAAAGTAAATTACACCTTTTCATGCATAGGTAAGTTGGTATGCATGTAAAAATTGAAATTTTGGTGTCAGATATGTAAATACATAAAAAATTTGTGGTATGTAATTCAGCATGATTTGAAGCAGACTTAACAAACAGCTTTTGTTTACAGTGAAAAACTACAAAAAGAGAAACTTCTCTCCAAACATCAACACAACATTATCACATTCTCATGATATATAATATGTCATAGATAACATTGATTTGCTAGATATCTAAATATATAGAATTCGAGCGGTATTTATGTAAATCATCCAGCATAAATAGAATTATGAGAGAAGATTAGAATCTCACGACTTACTTGAGCTTCTCTCTGATCTGTTTCTCCATCTTTCAGAATTTTCAGATGCAAAACATCTTTTGCATCATTTGAATGATGATTGGCGGCTGTTTTTATTCGATTTGCGCGAGCTTGTGATTGAATCTTCATGAGGGATTTGAGACCTTTCAGAGTTATATTTGTTTGGCGCCTCACAGCTTGTCCTCGGATCAGAGCTTGAAGCTTAACCAGACCTTTCAGAGCTCTCAATGCTCTCCTCGCCTGAATTTTTTTACACAATTTGAGTAAATTTGCATAACATTTGAGTATTTACATTTGTACCGCACAATTCTCATGTATTTATTTATATCTTTAACATGTAAATTTTGATGTTTATAAAACTGATAGTAGTGATAGTTTTGATGTGATGTTAAAGATTCAGGTTTTAAGTAAGGAAATATCAAAATTAAATGTGGGATATGTAAATACATAAGAATTGTGCGGTATGTTTGTAAATGATAATAATAAGAAAAATTTATATATTTACCATTCAATTCCTATGTAATTATATATATCATACAAACTTTAAAAAAAAAAGGCATTTTCACACACCCCCAAATATCTAGCACCCAAAACTTCAATTTTTATATTTATATTGCCTAAATCTTAATATACATTTACATGCATAAATAAGCTGGTAAATATGTAAAAAAAAAGGGAAAATTAGTTGTTAGATATATAAATACATAAGAATTGATGAGTGGTATGTATGTATGTTAAGAGAACTTACAAGATAACCCCGAAATGCAATCTGTATCTTAATTGCAGCAACTTCTTGTGTCTTATGATAAGACAGAGTATTTCCGGCGAGCCGAACGACCTGGGCGGCGACCTGAGCGGCGGCGAGAGCGGCCGGGCGCGCGCCGGGCCGCCCGCGGCGGTGGCGACGGCCACCGCAACCGCATGCTTGTTCTGCTCTTCCTCTGCCTCTCTTAACGATCTCAATCTCAGCAGCGAAGGAGGGGGTAAAGCAGGAGAAAACTTCGTCTTCAACCTTCCAAAAAGCCATCTTTTCCTCCTCTCCTTCTGCAAGATTGCAAAAAAAAAATGTCTTTTTTATCTAGTTTCGGATGAATATCAGTGGGAGATTAACAGCCACCTTCTCCTGTTTTGATTGAGTTTCAGAGGTGAGAAATTTCTTTAATCTATCAAGCCAGTTCTTTTTCTTCGCCATGGGAGTCTGATTTCACTAAAAAGTTGGAATTTTTGGTAAGAAGAGATGAATTCAGAGCTAGCAGAAGTTCAGAAAATGGAAATGAATTAGAGAAAATATATCAAAATAGAGAGGAGAATACATGAAAAAGTCCTATTTCATTGCTTCTGCATGCTGCAATAAAAATAAGTCTGGTAAAAATAAATAAATAACAGTAGAGAACACAAATTTACCATCAAATTTAAAAAAAAAAAAAAGTAAAATCTTCATCTTCACTTCAGAGAACTTCAGAACCAGAGAGCTTAATTACTAACCGAAATCTTTCATCACTCCAACAGAGGAATCAATGTGTTCTTCATCCCTTCCTCTCTAGGTCAGATCATCTATTCTATCCATTGGAGAAACCTCAGTGCTTCAAAAGGCTAGCAATGCAGCCTTCTAGACAAAGGAAACAATTTTTTTTTATGATTTTTACCAAAAAGGAAATCATAATTATATACTATTTTATTAAGAAAAAAAAAAGAAAGAAAACAAATGTGGACAAAGATGTACCAAATGGAACTCATCAGGAATTCTGACAACTGTGTTTGATCTGTCACGCTGCAGAGAAGCAGATTGCAGCCAATCGATGTAGCGTTCGACATTCTTTTTAAATTGATTTTGTTCTTTTTAGTGATTCTGGTAAGAAGAAAAAATACCCGTGAAGCTGTTTGGTAGAAATATAGCCGTTACATTTGAACAGTTACAGTTTGACTATGAAGTTTGGATGATTTGATGAAGGAAGTAGGCCTGTCAAAACGGCTAATTGTTCTCGAACAGCTCGTTTTCGGTTTGTTAAAAAGCTCGTGTTCGACTTGTTAATTTTGTTCAATAAGTTAACGAGCCGAACATGAATTAAGATGTGTTCGGCTCATTATATATATATATATATATATTAAGTAGTATTTTAAAAAAAATTTAATTGACTACAAAGCTGCAAAGATTTATAATCAATTAAAATATTGATTAAGAAAATAAAATAGAAATTATTAGATTAGATTTAAATGAAGTTTTAATATAAATAATAATTTTTAAATCTTGCTCAAACCCTTATTATCTTATTTATTATGGCTACATGATTAGGGTTGTTAAAAGGACTCTTTGTTCGTGAACAGCTCGTGTTCGGCTCGTTAAGCAACAAACGAACAAACGAGCCGAACACGAACACATTTTTTAAGCTCGAAATATAAACGAGCCGAACGGCTCGTTTACACCCCTAGAAGGAAGGGATTAAGATTTCTGGTTTATCTCTTTTTTTGGCTGTTAATGTTGAGTCTTAATGACAATTCGAACCAATGACTCAGTTTTTAATCTAAATATTTTATTTTAGCTCTCAAATTAAAATAAATAAATACAGCTAAAATTGATCAATATTAGAACCTAAGTCATTGGTTCGAATTGTGATTTCGGTAAAAACAATTTTTTTAAGGAATAACTAAGGCTATTATACGAGCCTCCAGTCACCCCTGGTGTGCCTAACAATTCGAGTTTCATCTCTTTAAGACTAACTGTGTAGAGGGGATTCGAACCCCCAACCTGAGAGGTCTTATACCGTGAATGCCAACGAATAAGCCGGGGTAAACATCACTCAAAAACAACCAAATCTATTGAATTGTATATAAAAAAAAAAGTTTTTGATTAAAAAAACCTATAAAATTATATATACTAATAAATTTATTTGATAGAAAACTGTACATTCATGCCGTTCTGAACAAACTGAAATTGGACCATTCTTTATCATTCTCATAAAAAAAATAATCTTAACGGACGGCTGAGATTAAAAGTGGCCCTTGATGAAAGTGATGTATCGGCGGATGAAATAATCTAAGTAGAGAGCATAGAAATCTCTATCAAATGATTAAAAAGTTCTGCCATAAAGTCTGACCATTTTGCCGACAGATGCATGTGCTCCACGAGAAGAAAGAAGGGGCCAAATTGTGAAAAGTCAAAAAGATTTATGGTAGATTTGTAAATTCATTATAATGCCTCTCTTTAGAAATATTGCATCAGGACATTAAAAAATAAAATAAAATCTGTCCGTTAACACAAATGAATATTCCTCTTGTGTTATTCAGGTGTTATTATGTACATGTGTTATTGTGCGTTATTCAGGTGTTATTGATATGTTATTGTGTTATTATAACGCTGGAAATATTCACATAACACAATAACACATGAATAACATGAAATAGCATGAGGGAATATTCCCCTGTGTTATCGGGCCGATTTTTTTTTTATGTACCTCCACGTGACGTGATTTCATTGGACTCCACATGTAACTCTACGTGCGGAGTCCTGATGCAATAATTTTTCCTTAAGAAATAGGTACAATCTTAAATTGGTGGAAAAAGATGGGGGATTTTTTTTTTGTTTTTTGAATGATTTACATACATACATATTGCTAATTTTCATATATTATTATGTTGAGGAGTAATAATCATCAAAATAAGCTTATTAAATCCTAAATATGTTTTTAAAATTTTATTTTTTATCATATTATAAACTCTTGAACTAATTTGACTCAATGTAAATACTCGGAGATTATTTTTGACATTTTACACAATCTTATTATTTACATATCTAACACCTTATTTGATATTTATATTTATAATTATTTGGTGTTAAAACCTATGCATATAAATATATATCATTCATTTAAAAGAAGTTATTAATAGTAATATTTTTTATGTAATGTCGAATATTCGTATGATATGTGTTTGAATATTAAAATTTTAAGTGTTAGATATGTAAAGAGATAAGAATTGTGTTGTTAATGCCCAAAAATTATCAGGGAAATTTAAAAGCTCGGCACAAAATTCTTCAGTATATATCCCATGCCTAAACATTCATATTTACAAACATAATATTTTCGTGTTTTTTTTAATTTTTTAAAATTAAGAATGGTCAGAGACTATTATACGAGCCCCCAGCCACTCTCATGTGTGTGACCATTCGAGCACCGCTTTTATTACAGGCAAACTGACCAAATGGGGATTCGAACATGTGACATGAGGGGACTTACGACCTTCAAAGAAACTGTTCTACCAACAGGTCACGGCTGACAGCACAATATTTTTGTGATTTAAACCTATGCATAAAAAGATGTATTTCATTTTTAAAAAGTGGTATTGTACTATTTTTTACGTGAAATTAAAAATTAGGTGTTATATATATATATATTTATAACACCATCCCCCAAAATTTTATTAAAAAGCTATAAAATATATTCCCACCACCCACCCTTTATTTAAAGAAAATATGAATTACCTTCAACATACCCCAAGAAAAAAGTGCAAATTCTAACATAATGTTCCTTTGCCCCACATCAACATTTTCCTTCACACAAGTATCATTACATACATACCATCCAATTCCTATAAATTCATACATCAAACCTCTAAACTTTCACTTTTTTACATCCATACAATCCAAATCTTTCATACCACATCAACAATACTATCATTTTAACTTTTAAAAATTGAAAAAATACATTTTCATGCATATATGTATAGGTGGGTATACATGTAAATCTTCCTAAAATAAAATGAGTCCCAAGGTGCAAAAATATAACTTCCAACTGATGTCATCTTCACTCTCAAATGAGAGACAAATACTGCCGTACCTGAATTACTCCGCTCTCCTCAAAACACCGTAGCGCATTGATTGAAAATAAAATGAAGAACTTTAATATATCGGATTCGAATGTTGCAAGAGAAGAAGCAACTCAGTAACTGAGTTGAACATAGCTGTGATTAGTGCCATCTTCCATTCTAATCCAAGACTGAAGGGAGAATGGTTCTTCATTGATCTCAAGAATTCTGGAACCACGCGGCCATGTTCCATAGCCACCATACCCGCTGTGACGAGCAAAGCAGAGCCAGAGCTGCTCATGGGGACAGCACCAATCCAGCCCATGATTGTGCCCTACAAACACTGCCTGCATAATGTATATCAAGGCATAAACATTCAACATTTTCACAATTTTTTTTATAAAGATGCATTTTGATGAAGAAAATACAAGCCTTTATCCCACTAAGTAGGGATGGCTACACGAATCCTTTTTCTCCATTGTGTACTCTTGAGTGTCATATTTTCATTTAATTCTAATAAATTAAGATCATTTTGTATACAATACAATCTGCCCGAGCCTAGAGTTTTCTCCATACTTGGGCAGATTGTATGTATAAATTAAGATCATTTTTATATTTTCAGCACATATTTTTCTCCATTGTCTACCTCTGCCTTCCTTCAGATAAATCGAATCTAAAACATCTACTCTCCTAATTGGATCATCAGATGATAGATGTTCAATATAACCAAACCATCTAATACGACTTTCTCTAATCTTGTCTGTCACTGGAGCAACACCAACCCTTTCACCAATAGTTTTTATAAGTATGAAATATGAATAAAAATGAATCTATGCATTATATATACATATATATACCTTAACTTGTTTTTCAGCTAATGAGCTGAAAATATTTTTCAAATTAAGGCCTGTTTATTGAGGAGCTGGTTAGCATCAAAAACAAATTAACTTTTTTTTATGAACACTCAAAATAATTAAATTTCGAGTGTCTTTTAAAAAAAATTGTCTAAATTTTAAAAATTTAAAATAAAAAAATACGAAAAAGTACATCAAAAAATATATAATTTAAAACAAAAGTAAAAACAAAAAAAAAAAAGACAAAATTGATCTCAAACTGATCCTTAAAGAATTAGCAAATATGAGCTAAGTTTTACAAACATCTGGTCTTTTTTGACAGCCCTATGCACGCTAGAAGAGCAGGTAACATAATAATGTTTTTTTGGATGTTAGTCATCAAAGGATTGTTTGATGCTTCACACGATGACTTCAGCAAACCTAGACTTTTCTCCTTTTACAAGTACAGGAAGGCAGTGTAAATGCCAAAATAAATTATATATCTATGTGTGTGTCTGCGCGCGCGAGCGCATACCATGGCCTCTTGGTTAGCAGGATTCTCTGTAAGTCCCCTCAGGTCAAGGGTTAATAGCACATAACGTGGGTTTCTCACCATAGGGCCTAGCGTATTAGGAAACGGTATTTGGGCTTCTGCCAAATACAGATTCTTTTATAAGAATCTGTGTGTGTGTGTGTGTGTGAGTGTGATAATAATAAAAAAAGTATATGCGATAGATAATAAGATAGCATGATGTCATGCATCGCAGAGATAGAAGCCAAAGGACTTCACAAGGCTTAAACTTTTCATGACACTTGCACATGGTTTGGATGAATCAATAGAACCCAAAAGCAAATAATTATAATGAGTAGGATTCATTTGCAATTTTGGACGACATTGATAATTGTCTACAATCAAGGGAGATTTCACTAGCATGATTTTAAGAACTTTTTCTTTTTTTTTGATTAAAGTAGATTACTTTGTTTAATTATGCCAGGCCCATAAGAAGGAAAATTTACATACACACCACTTAATTTTTATGTAATTCCAAATCTAACTAAACTTAAACTTTTACCTATGCATGAAAAGGTGTATTTCAATTTTTGGTAGGTAAAATAGTGGTATTTTTTATGTGATATGAAAGATTTTGATGGTATAAATGTAAAAAGTAAAGTTTAGGTGTGTTTTGGGCATGTAAATGCTTTTACTTGTTTGTAAAGTAAAAAACAAATCAGCTTTTTTTATTAACACTCAAAATAATTAAATTTCGAGTGTCTTTTAAAATAAATTGACTAATTTTTAAAAATTTAAAATAAAAAATATGAAAAAGTACATCAAATAAATATAAAATTTAAAAAGTAAAGTAAAAAACAAAATTGATCTCAAACTGGTCCTTAAAGAATTAGCAAATATGAGTTAAGTTTTACAAACATCTGGCCTTTTTTGACAGCCCCATGCACGCTAGAAGAGCAGGTAACACAATAATGTTTTTTGGGATGTTAGTCATCAAAGGATTGGTTGGTGCTTCACAAGATGACTTCAGCAAACCTAGAGTTTTCTCCTTTTACAAGTACAGGAAGGCAGTGTAGCTGCCAAAATAAATTATATATATGTGTGTCTGATAATAATAAAAAACAATATATGCGATAGATAATAAGATAGCATGATGGCATGCATCGCAGATATAGAGGACAAAGGACTTCACAAGGCGTAAACTTTTCATGACAATTGCACATGGTTTGGATGAATCTATAGAAACCAAAAGCAAATAATCATAATGAGTAGGATTCATTTGCAATTTTGAACAAAGTTGATAATTGTCTACAATCAAGGGAGATTTCACTAGCATGATTTTGCGAACAAAATTTTGAAATCAATCCTGATGGAAAATTTTGATATGGATATCATGATTTATTTATTTATTTATTTGAGATTAAAGTAGATTACCTGGTTTAAAGATGCCAGACCTAAAAAACCATAGTGGCCTTTAATAAAGAAGGAAAATTTACATACACGCCACTTAATTTTTATGTAATTCCAAATCTAACAACTAAACTTCAATTTTTAAATACATATCACCTTACCCATGCATGAAAAGGCGTATTTCAATTTTTAGAAGTTAAAATAGTGGTATTTTTTGTGTGATACGAAAGATTTGGATGGTATGAATGTAAAAATTAAAGTTTAGGTGTTTTAGTTATGTAAATACTTCGGAATTGGGTGGTATGTATGCAAATGCCCAATATAGAAAGCTAGGGATGGGTCCTGCTTGAGAAGTTTGTAAAATAAATCTACCTAACATTGTGTTCCTTACAGGACTACAACTAGAAGCTTTGGTAGAAGAATCAGTAGGCCCATGTAAATTCTGCTTTTGAGAGGAGGGAATTCATGAGATGTGTGTTTAAACGTTTTACAACTCTACCCCGTTTTATTAATAGAAAATGCAATCCTAGCGGCAATTATTTGCTTAAAGAAAGCCTTCTCAACTCAAATGTGCAAAAAGCAATGGTTTTTATGGAAGTCAATAAATTAAAAGATGGCATAGTTAATTAAGTTTTATAGCACAAAAAGTTTTGTGGTCTGATATTTATGATAGTAGAGTTTTATTTCGCCTTAAGCCCCAAACTGTGTCGAAAGATACCTATGTATTTACATATTTAACACCTAAAGTTCAATTTTTACATATAT